TTTCCAGAGCATTGTTTCTCAGGACTCCCCAACATGCACCCCCCACCCCCCATATTCTACTAGTGGAGCTAGGGAGTTCTTACCACACCTGGTTTCCAGTCAAGTAACCTCAAGTACTACCTAGTGCTCTCTGTGTGAATGTGGTAATATTCTTAGATTCTCGTTTTAAACTGCTTCATGAATTTGACAACATATTCAATACCACATAAACTACAAATGCTGATAATTCATCAATTGTATTACCAGCAAATAACATAATATTAATAAAAAATACTGATACTACACCAGAACAATATGTCCCAAGCTCAAATTGAAGAAGCCTTCCTCATCCAGCTACCAATAAACCCTCTAATCAAATTCGGCATCAAATTAACCCTAAAGAGATGGGGCAGTATCCAATGAGCACACCTTGTACGGAAAAAGATACACAGTGCAACAATACTTATTATAACTAAGATTTCTTAATGTATCTTCACAACAATTGGTAAGATTTTGTTAAAGATTACAAGTATTTTAACTAAAGATTTGTTATTTTGTATTCTAGTTATTTGCACTCGGACTCTGAATATTTCAAATATTATCATCAATATATTGTACAGTGAAATGTTTAAAATTAAAAATAGAAAAAAATGTACATACCTTTTAATTTTTTTGTCAATTAATCTTGAAAATATTCTTAATTGTAAGTATAAACATTTACACACATAGTTTATTCCCAATCCTTTACCATTATTACTTATCGTCAATGGGCGTTCTCGGGGTGTTCATATCTATAGGTGAGAAACAATGCTACAGTGCCAGCGACGACACAAGCAGCAAAACTGCTAAAAGCATTTGACAAGTTCTCTATGGAGTTTTTCGAGCCAATTTTAAACTAACTGTTGGGAGACAGTATTTCAAAAGGTGATCTTTCTATTGGTTACAAACATCTAGCTCAATTAAGTATAGTTGGCTGAGAAATTGCAACTCTGTGTGTAGGAAGTTGGTGTTCAAAGAAATTTACTTCTCTTTTCTCACAATGTCCCCTAAGGAGCTTGAAAGAAGAATATGTAAACAGATCAATTAATTTGCATTTTTTCAAATATGGAAGGTTTAATATAGTCAAGTCGTTTTCAAGTTACAAAATACAAAAGTTAAAAATTTGTGAAGTTGTGCATTAAACTGAAGTTTAAGAAATTTTCTTTATGGTTTCTTTTGAAATATAGTTATACAACTTTGAACTGTAATGTAAATTTTAATGCTAATTTCATTCATGTATATTGATAGTGAGATTTCTTATTTAAATTTTGAAGGAAACAAAGTAAAATCTCGTGACATGTGCAGTTAAGCAGAACCTGGTTACAACTACAGAAAAGCACTATTACAACATCCAAAGCCATCAGTAATGGGCAACAGTCTAGTGAACTACACTCTCACCTTTGGTTTCTATGGTCCTGGTACAAATTCCAATAACAGTCCTTTTCAGGACTACACAGTTGAACATGGAAAAAAATTATAGTACTAGCAACAAAATAGGTAACTACGAAGACATAAACAACATATTTATTTACCTATTGCCTGTAATATGTGTTTTTAGCAAACACACATAGAAAAGTGTGGGATCACTGAATAAAATTCTAGTAATGACACTAATGTATTGAATAACAAACGTGTGAATTCTATGAAAAATAAATTGATAAAGTATGTTTTTACAACTTTTAAGGAATGACTGAGAAAATTTTCATGTACATGATATTAACTTTTGATAACCTGAACAGGTATTTGTGGCTTATTTCAGATTTCGTACATGATTTTACACCGAATTAATATCTGACAAAACAAAAAAACAACAATCACTCAATGTGTATATGTCCTTTTACATTCCAAAATGACCACTCAAAACAAGCTTTATACTAAACCATTCCCACCCAACACAAAAATACTATTTCTATGTAATTATGGAGCACATATAAGACACACAATTGTCGCTTTATTCCCTTTCTTTATTTGACAGTATAAAATATTGTTAAATACATCTTGACCATATAGATTTCATTTTAAATGTTCCCAAAACAAACAGTACTACTTTTCAAGACTGTGTATAAACCCTAGTTTTGGTTACATGAAACACCATGACTATTGCAAAGGCAGGCATGGCTATTTTGTTTTTTTTTGTTTTTTGTGGAGGACATTTCTTCCCAACATCTAAACCAAGTCCCTTAAAATAGTATCACTGCATTCAGGATTGCAAAATTAATTAAATACCTTAAAACTTCCTTCATAGTTCCTTCTGGAATGAAGCAGTTTATGGTAAACAAGAAAAAATATTAGAGCATTTGAAAAAAAAAAATACCTGAAAATAATGGAGTCGAGGTCAAAGGGATACTCAATGATGCCTGTTGTAGGGACTCGGACCCTAAGAATATCTTGTTGTTCAGGAAGGTAGTTGGGTTGTGCTATCCTGTCAATGTCACTCAGATAACTGGACAAAACAAGAGAAAAATTAAATATAAGACTTAAGAATAGTTTTACATAATGGACACATACTTGCTGGAAAAACTTCTATTTCAGAGGTTAGTAACACACACACACACAAAATTGAGAAATTGACTTCTTCGTACAATACGTAGAGACCTTAAATATTGAAAATCATGAATCATTCTCACAAAGTTTGAAAGTGAAGCATTTAAAGAAAACTGGAAAGAAATATAATTAAAATCAGCATTTGAAGGAATATTCAGATGTTTCTGGAAAAAAAAAATATCAGTTATCTGAAATAAAGAAACTTTTGGTTGAATTATTAAGTTTATCTGTGCTATTAAAATAACAGTATAAGTGATACACTGCAATGAACACCGTATGTTCTGGTTATATAGCAATGACAACATATATAGTGTCTAAAAAGATGGTTTACTCACCTTAATTTATTTCATTGAGTTACTATTTAGATCAGTGGTTCCCAACCTGGGATCCACGTAGGTAATACCATCTCATTAAACAAGTAAGTTTTTTAACACTGATGTTCTTTTTAATTGCACACTCAGTTTTGTACGTCTTTTATTTGATAATAAAAAGTGGGAGAATGTGTTAATTATTAATTAATAAAAACAGTTTGTTGGGTAGGCGGAATCTTTCAAAAACATGGGGTCTGTGGCAGAAAAAAATGATAATAAAAGGGGTCCTTGGTGGCGCAAAGGTTGGGAACCACTGATTTAGATGTATGACTTGAGAAAGCATAACTTTTACTTCAAAGCATGCTTTGACAAATTAATATCTACACTTTCAATACTCACCCACCACATAAAAACAAGTATTTATCAGTAACATTTTCACATTCCTTACAAATCATTTCTGGGTTACGAAGCTTATCGTGACTTTTATACAGTTAACAAGAGATTATCATATTTACACAATTTCACTGATATAACTAACTACTGAGAAGACTTTTACACCACTTACATACTAACAGGTAATCTGAAAGTGACACATGAAAAAACAACCAAAAACCAATCAGATTCTGGTGAGGTGGTAACTTGACTATCTAAGAATATTAGGAAGAAAACTCAGAGATGATGGCTATGGATGTACTGACATGAAAAGCAGCTGATTAATTTTTGAATTTTTTTCTATTAAAATAATGTATGATGGAAGTATACAGTTGCAACAAGTAGGTTATACTTTCCTCACTTCTTGCTCACTTAAAAAGTCAGAAATGGCTTCAGAATGATTTTGAAAAACTTTTTTAAGGAAAAGAGAGACTTAAAAAATTACAGTTAAAGTGATAAACATGTCTGAACTTTTCCAAAATCAAACAAAAGCTGGTAAAAAGGTCACATAAAAAACCTAAGTACTTGGGTAGATGAAACGTAATTAGCCAAAGGTGGGTGATTTACCTGACATTCAGCACCTAACAAACCCTCATATGAAAGGTAAAGAGAGTACTGGTGTAGAAGGAAATATGTGCAATTCATGCTCTACACAGTGAGAATGTGTTCTAAATGTTGAAAAAATAAAAAAATTGTGACGTTTTTTATATTTTATAAAAAATAACTTAGTATCGGCTTAAAGCTTTTTCTGTCTTTCCAACAAAACACAGTACAATTCAGCTTATTAAAAACTGAAATTTACTTAGTTTTGAGTTTCTTTTCATAACTTATATCTTTTTTAATTTATCTATAGTCGCACACACACAAAAAAAAAACCCTAAAATTTCCTACATTAAAGCCATTCTTTCATACCTTTTGAAAACATCTACTCTGTGAAACGTGACTGAGTTGAAGAAAAGCAAACAAGTTTACCATTTATGATAGATACACTAGATTTACCTCAGTGTGAGCACGTAATAATTATTTAGCATCATCCAAGTGCTTGGGATTAGTCATCAATTAACCATTAAATTCAGGGCTAGTCCCATTCTTCAGGCATGAAATACAACACAATTCATGTTTTTGTCTTGAGCCTATATTATTTCAATTAAGATACTATGTACAACTTATTTCAAAACACACATTGCACAAGACTCCACAACAGGCCAATGTTAAAAACCACTCTAACACATAACTATAATCTTTTATGCCAAAGTTAAGAATGCAGTTTCTAATTTCCAATATACAAGACTGATTGTGAGAAAAAAAAAAGCTGATAAATCACGAAGAGTTTCAAATGTTTTGTCTCATTATTCTATACCAATGAAAACTCCAGTTTAAATAAGTAAAACTAATTATCTATTCTATCACTTATTTTAAGATGAGTTTGTAGTGAGTGAGTGAGTCAGGAAAATCCATTTCCTTGTGTCTAAATTTCTGCATACTTTGCTTTTAAAAAACAACAAAAATTAATAAGTGTCTATTTTTGTTAATTTAAAAAAAATTACCACAGGCTAAAAATTAAGTACCTATTTAATTTTAATTGTATTATTTCACCAGGTTATTAGCCACGGCATAGCAGCTCATAGAATGGCTCAGTTTTTTTGTTTTTTTAAAGTACAAACTTATCTCATAGCTTCATCTCTTGACTGATTTGAGATCTAATTACAGCTGTGGCTACTGAGGATTCCCTCATTTCTTATTTTGAAAAATCTTGATTTCTGTAAATGATATTTTTAAGCAATCCCCTTTCAGTAAAGGACTATTCCAATAAGCTTAATTTTTCAAAGTAATTTCAATGACTAACTAAACTTTGATCATCCTTGTGTTTTAGATACTATTAACAGTAGTGTTCTATCCTGTTTTTTATGTTTATTTGCAAATTACTACATTAATACCATATAATTCCATTATAATTTATCAAGCTTAGTAACCAAGATGTATTTTAGTTTAAAAAAATATGAAATTTTGAGAAGATTAAAGACACACCCTACCTCCTTCAAATTTCCATCTACTTCAAAGCCTCCTCTATTTTGGTACTATATATAAGCACTTCCTTCAGATAATATTGTCACATTTTCGATACTTATCCAATCCACAGTCTCTATCACCAGCTCTTAGTGGGGAAGAAGGGCAGAAGAACATTTTCGATATAAGAAAAATGCCAACTTTCAAAACATACTTACCTCCACTGCACTTAGAATCTTACACTGATAAGGTGGAGGGGTTGGTAAGGGAATTATCCATAAGATCGTGGGTGTGCCAATAGAAGATAAGAACCCTAGTGGGGGAGCCACACTAATCCAGAATAGGTATGCTCTTCACCCGGAGCCTAATTCATGCACTGCAGGTGAAATTTGACATGATCAATCATCACTACTGGCCAGGCCCCAATGAGATAGCTAAGGTTCCACTATTCAGGGTTGGTATTATATGGCCATGGTCCCTAAATCCCACATTGTTGACTAGGGCATTTGGACTGCAAAATATATATATACTTGTAAGTGAATCCCAACCTGTAGCTAGAGTGATGCATTCCAAGCCATCGGAATCATGACGAGAAGATAAGCAACACTGTAGTGAACAAACCCTCTCCTCAACCCGATAAATTTCGAACAGCAACACCCCATACGAGGAATGACGGGATCCTATATGCCATACTTAACCTGAGGAAACAAAACTCATCCGGTCTGGAATTATGAACATTCATTCTCACTCTCCAATTGTGTGGGCAAGATAAATCTACTTGTCCTCAGAATTATGGAGAGGACGTAGAACAAACTGTGCTCAACCATGGACTCAGGATGGGACCACTCCATTTAGAATTATGAGGAGACAATGGACCCTCTTCAATGTACAATGTACTGAACCAATATTGATCAAAAAAGAAGGACCTCGCTCAATTCAACTGGATAGCCGAGTGTCAAATCTAAACTGGTATTACAAGTAGGCTGATGCCTCTCCTATCAACATCTGACAAAACAACCACAGTCCTGGGTAGGAGGGCCCACAACTTTGCCCTCTTCAGTGCAATAGATGAACCAAGTTCCCATAATTTTTAAAAGTAAACCAACCCTAATTTATTGAATCCAATGATCAGCAGGGACGGGGAGGATCCTCTTATGCTTTACTCTTGATAATCTACAAGTGGTGGTCTAGCATAGCAGAGTAATACCACCCGATATGCCTCTAGGTGGTCTTATGGAACCCCTAATTTCTACAGAGCCTGTTGCAACCTGTATAAAGTATATTGAATTAGTGGTTGTTACTGCAGAATTGGTTTGATAAAAGCACACCTGCCTGGGCAACACTCGCCACAGAGTGGGATTCTGTGAAAATGAGGTAAGAGACCCTGAAAAGTAAAGAAGAGACAATATTTGTAATGAAGATACTCACACCTCATTATAATCTAGTAGATGTGGTTAAGATAGCTACAGAGGGTAGTCCAAAACTCTCAGAGGAAGATACTGCCAAATCATGTAAATAATGCGAGATAAAAGTATTGGAGGAGGTCCACATACCAGCCCACACAATGTCCTCCAATGGGCAATTCAAGGACATAGAAATGTGATGAATCTGATTAGACATGACTCGCATAAGTATCTTGACCTCAAAAGAGCATCCAGAATAAGCAATATGGATCAATTTTTGTACCCACCTTGACAATGTAACTGGGGATAAATCTTGGGAAACTGGAGGATCCCAATGAATAAAAAGTAATTGTCTAGCACCTCTACAGGTGTTAGTGCAGGTAACCTAACACTTAAAGGCTGTCACTTGGCATGAACAATTGAGATACAATTGGTCATAGATGTGAGAAATAGCAGTCACATGAATTGGTGCTGAATTCCCTGGCTGCCATTGTCTTAGATAAGAAGGACCTGTCTGGATATAGTTGACAACTGAATCAAGGTAGATGCTATGATCCCAACTCATCATCATATTGATGTGGCAGACAAGGCATAGCTGTCCCTTCATGTAACTGAGCAGTAAACCTCCTTGCACGAACCACGGGATGAAGTGAGAACTAAGTATTCACCCTCAGACCTTTCTGTCATCAAGGAAGGCACAGACTCAAAAGCAACCAGGGAAAGACCCAAAACATCACACACTCAGTTTACCAAGTGAAGAAAAGGAGCCGGAGGTGGCTGATCCCAATTTGTTTTCATGAGGAGCCAATAGAAATCTAAATTCTCTCCAGAATTTCCAGGATTGCCTGCAATTGCAGCCTCAGAGCCCATTGGAGAAACACCACCTGAATATACATCTCTATCCTACTAAGAATAAGGTCACGGACAACCTCAACTAAGAATGATTCTTTCCCCCAACTGTTGAGTGATGCTAGATATCAGACGTGGGATAGGAGAGACCCGATTTGCCTCCGTGCCTGAAACAATAATCTAGGAATTCATGCAGTATTTTGGATTGCCAAACAATCTTATTTTTAAAAAATGCAAAACAACTAGGTAATGATCAAAGAATGATCAACGTATCTTCCACAGTTGTGGTACAGAGAAACCAATTAGTGAATGCTCTGTCGAAAAAAAGTGATAATATCATCTGAATGAGGTGCTTACATAAAGTACCAGTATAGAGAGCGCACTGACGAAGGTGGAGAATGTCATGAGACAGATATAGCTAATGGCAATTAAATGAGGAACAAAAGACTGGAGCAAGCAAGAAAAAAATCAGACCGATTGCTTAGATGGGGAATGGAAGGAAACCCTAGAAGTCGAGTAATAGATATAGTATGACAGGAGGTATGTTTTGAAAACTTAATTAAAACAATGAAAGTTTAACAGTAATCATATATTTCAAAGTAATAACTTGAACATAAACTTTATCTCAAAATTTTAGAATTATAACAAAGCTTCTTCACAAACAACATTTACAGTTTGCTTATCATCTACCAGTAAATAAAGATTTTGAGGTGATCCTACCCTTGAACACCTTACATCTCATTGACCATGATAAAAGCATGGTTGTTTAAGAAACAATCCAGCAACTTTCCTACTTTGACCTTAAGTTCCTTTAGGATATTCAACATTGTCTAAAGCATCAACCTACCAAGCTTGTTTGAGACTGACTCAATAGGCTGGGAGTAATTAACCAACAGGCTTTAGAAAATAGAAATAGGGTAAAGTTAAATTTTAAACCCCTTAGGACATTCCCCATAGTTCATAGTGTTTACATACAAATTTTGGTTGAGATTGGCCTAATAGGCTCGGAGGAGTTAGGGTGCAAACATACACACATTTTGTCTTATATATATAGAGAGAGAGAGATGATAATTAAAAAAATAAAATAAAAATCACATACATCATTCAGTATCAAGTATGAGGCATCAAGCCATTTAACTTCATGAATGAAATGGCGATGATAGATTATTAATTATCGTAAGCCTTGTTACAGCATTTAATTAAATACAGAGCTATCAGCCCATAATATATTTTTACCTCGTTAATTAATTTATTCCTGTAGACAAACGAGCTCTGTTTCTACGTTAACAAGATTTATAAGAGAGCATCATTTAGTTTTATGTTGTTTTTTCTCTCAAATATGTTAATTTAATCAAAATTAAATTTATTAAAGTAGAAAGTCACTTTTCAGATCCGGGTCTCACTTTGACATTTGTATAATTTTGGTACAAGTTCTATTTTTAGTAACACTAAAACTGAATTAAACCAAGATAGAAGCAATAACAACCACTTGTCTATGTTGTGTGTACTTACTATTTCGCTGAATCTGTGAGCTGATACTCCCTTCTTCGGTCATAACATTCTTGGATACCAGGATCTGCCCAGAGTGATTTAATAGCTTCCACATAAGGACTCTCAAACACTGTGACTGTTTCGTAGTCTACCTGCCGTACAAGTTCTGCATTTTCCTGTCAAGAAAGGGGAAAAAATATATAAAAACAGAAGTATAATCTTAACAAAGCAAACTTGTAAAATGTTCTTAGTGATTAAAACAAAATATTGATATCTTTTCTACAAAAATTGAGTTAAATACAAATTTAGTGATGTTTTTGCATACCTAAATATTAACTATTAGGCCACTGTATCATTAAATCAGGAGAATCACAGGGATTGTATTGACTCTAGTAGGAACTCCTTGCAACAAGATATATACCCCCCTCTCCCTGAAGAAGAAAGCGGTGACATCCACATGGTGGTGGTGGTGGGGGGAGCAAGCCCCTGCCTTTCTGACCTTATGCCCCAAAAGTACCCTTTTTTTCTCTGTCATAAAAATTTTCAACAACTATGAAAAGATACATCTGATTACACACCTTAGCTTTCTTACAGTAGTTAGGAAAAAAAATCCTAGCATTAAACCCAATGGTACACAGGGACTTGTAGTTCTTTAAAGTAAAAAAATTAATTGGATATGGTATTAAGTGTGCAATAATTCACTGTTTATTAAGTGCTTTCAGAAAATATTACTTTTTCAGGAGTGAATTATAAATGAACAGGAACTGTATTGTTCACAGAAGTCACGGGTAAGAATAGCGACATACAAGTGTTAAGGATTAAGGTAAATCATGAACATACATTATTATGTTTAAATTTCTGTAAAGAGTTACTGAACAATGTATTAACTTACTCCTGTAATGAGTGAGAAAGTAACGCTTTCAACAAATGTGAAAGCTTCGAAGGCATATGATTCATGTCATAATCCATTAGAATTTGAGAAACTGTATGAATTATACGTAGTATTTCTCAAACTGAATATAGAGCAATCTTATAAGATGCACATCTTCATACATGGTGTTCTAAAAGTTGGTTGCTGCAGTGCTGAGGAACATTTCTTGTTTCTTAATAGATTTCTTAAATAATGACACCGGGTACTGGTGAATGTATGAAGACTATCTAGATTGATGGTCTACATTACTGCAGCATTTTTGGGGCAAATAATTTAAGCATATTCTGTAAACATGTACGGACATTCAGCTTATAGCAGCTAATTTTTTTGGGACACTCTGTATAACTGAATCTATAACCACCAGTGTGTATGAACGTGTGTAACTTGTTGCAGTAATATTTCATAAAAACACAATTTTTGCTGATATACATTAAGTGAAAAATAAAAAAAAAGGTTATATTTTCAATGATCTCATTTACCCTAATAGATGTATATATGCAGATATTCTGAAAGTCAGCTTTTCAAACTTTTATGTGAGCTAAGACTTAAAAGAGTTTTAAATCAAGAAGGCAACATAGCCAGTAAAGACTGGTGCAACATGTTCACATTAAGCTGTGTAAATAAACACCTTTAGTTTCTGAGAAAGTCAGATTTAACTGCCTTGATATCTGCTACGTTTTCTTTTTTTTTAATCAATATTATTGATAATTTCTGAAACTTATTCTGAGAATTAAACTATAACACTACTTTTTTACAGGTCCCAGGGCAGCACAAATCACACACACACACACAGTGTGTGTCGAGATATTTTCCATAAACATTAAAGTACATTCAAAAATGTTTATTTTGTTGTCAAGAACAAAGCTACACAATGAGTTATCTATGACCTGGTCCATTACAAATATAAAAAACAATGTTTAGAATTATAAGCCCTCAGAATTACAGCTGAGCCACCAGGAGCTCCTTAAAGGATGAAACATTTACAAAAAAAAAATAATTCCATTTTCATGTAAACAACAGGTCTTGTCAAGTAAGGAAACTATGGTTGTGAATAAATTATGTATTTGTGTCTTGATTTTCCTCAATTAAGGAAATAAGGATTATCATCTCCAATTTTACACAAAACATAACATTGTTAACACACCATTATTTATCCTTGGTGAAAATAACATTTTAATATCTTGATATTTAATATACCCTGCCTCAAAATCAGGCAGAAATATATTGTATTTAACACAACACTTTTATACTATTATGACATTTTTTTTTAGTAACTACCACCTTTCTCTAATATAGAAACTATTTTAAACATGACAGACTTGGTTTCCAAGGCTCCAACATCCATACTCAGTATGGTAAGCCAAAGATCTCTATAAAAGTCACTGTTTTATTAATTAATGCATGTGTGGATTATATAATAAAACTTTCAATCATCAAGATAAAATAAATCTTGCTTTATATAATATGGTACAAGATGTATATGTCTACAACCTCCAGAAATTAAAATAACTTATGTAACATGTTCATGTGTTGGTATTTTTATGAACCAGTGCAGTTTTAGCATCATGAATGGAATAACCCTTACAGACAACATTTTTAATATTACAGGGTATAAATCTATTATTTTTATTCTTATCTCATGGCAGGAATCTATAGGCTTGAGTAGTATGCACCAGTGTTGCTCTGAGGTAATCTCATCTGACATAGTTTGTACATTTTTGAAAATACCATGTGTTTTTATAGCTAGGCTTTAAGTTAGGTGTAAACTGAAGTTTAAAAAATTATCAAGTTCAATATAAGTAAGATTACAATCAAGACAATTTCTAAAAAGTGAAAATTTGAGTTTTTCTTTAAGGTACTTAAAGGTTCACTGCTATTTCGTAAAATAAATCAATATAAGTACGTATTAGGGAAATGTTAAAAGTATCAATCTTTATTGTGCGATTGCACAAAAATGTGACTATCCTCTGCTGCTGATTCACATGAATGTAAATATCTCTGGAAAACAAATGACCCAATGGGAGCATTAAAATCACCCACATAAGAATTTTACATCAAAGGTTAGAAAATATTTCTATGTCAGCGAAAAAAATATTTTTTATGTAATCTAATCCAATGTGGAAGGTAAAAACTATTTAAACTAAACTTTAATATAAACCAGTTGTGTAACTAATTTATTAACTATTCTTAAGGTGTTTTTGTCAGCATGTCTGTTGTTCATATTCAGTCACAAGAATAATTTTGCTTTAGTTTGTACAAATTTATATACAGAACATTTTTCACTACAAACGACAAAAAACAGAGAGAATGAAGGTATATATATTTAACATTTCTCATATAGTAAAAATACTTTTTTCTCATTTATTCTAAACTTCTATTTTAGTTAAAAAAAAAAGAAGAATAACCATTCATTATCAGTACAGAAATAAACAGACTGACTCCAATAATTTACTTTTCTTTTGGCAGAATATCGAGTCAAAAACCAAAACAAATAAAAATGTTTACGGAGACAAAAAAAATCATTAAATCAGGTTTTGACTTACCTGGTTTTTTGGGTCTTTATAAGGTATTTTTAGCATATCCATGGCTTTTATCATACTCTGCATTGCCATAAATATGTTTTGATAAACTATCTTGATAAAACCTCGTTTGTCTTCATCAGAATAACCTGATCCGTGAATAATACGCATCTGTTTAATGAAGGTACTTTTACCCGATTCCCCAGTTCCTGGAAGAGAGAAATAAGTAACGTGCAACCTTGAAAACAAAACCAGTTAAATACACGATTGTACTAAGAAAAAAAAAGATTATACAAATAAATATTTAAGAAAAAAAAAAGTGAAAACTTAATTACAATTAACAATAAATTTACTAAAAAATATTTTTTCTACTCTCCTATACAGAATGTGAATAAAGTTATATAATCTAAAAGGTTTAGGTTCTTTGGCCACATCTAAAACAAGATTACATTAACTGCAGTTCTTATATTAAATTTCTTGTATTAGAAGTTACACACACTTCAGAGATAATTATCATGAATAATATTACTAAACTCCAAAACACTTTGAAATAATTTTTTGTATTTAATGAAATGACAGTTCTCCTTTTTTAAGAGATACATTTGAAAATACACATACCATTACTTTTATAGGGAGATTAAAAGAATGTCATATCACCAAAATTAGGAAAATCAAAAGATAAAATCAGGGGAAGGTGTATCAATTCATACAACTTGTTGAGAAATATTATCACTTGTTTTAAAAAAAATACATTTAAGGCTATGACTTCAGTGAAGAGTTCTATCTTGTAATATTCAATGTGTTCCATTACCTTTATAAAGATGAACCCATTCTTCCCTCATGTACTACAACTGAAATTTATCACATATTGTATCAGTTAAAATTTTCTCTCAACTGGAAAATGACTTAAGATAAATTCCTGCAACATAACAGATATGACAACTTCATGGAAAAAATGGAAAAGGCCATTTGTACTCCAATTGACAAACATTATTTTTGAATACATTATGTTGAGCAGTGGTTCTCAACATGGGCCACGCCATGTTTCTAAGGGGCCACAGGTGAATGATGGAAAATTAGGGGACCACAGTAAATTCCGAGTGGGCCACCGAAACTTCACTGCCTGAATAAAATATTTCAACAACCCAAGCTAGATTCAAACGTGAGAAATATTATTTCTGGATAAGTAGTGAAATAGCTAACAAGTTTCCACAGCTCTGGGAAAAGGCAAAGTTGTATTTTATTGCTTTTCTCACATCTTATCTGGTTGAATCTGGTTTTAGTCGGGTGACTTATTTGCTATCCAAAATACGTAACCGCCTTGATATTGTGAAGAGAGGTGATCATTGCTTATCACTGACCACACTGCAACTGAACATTCAAAAACTTTCAAGTGTTCATCAGGCCACACTGAATAAAATGTCAATGATTAACAGAATATTTTTTACTTGTATAAGTAAATAGTATGTTAGAAACAAAATAATTAAAACAATACAATATTATAAAAATAATATTATAAATCAACAGTGTTATAATAAAGTAACTTTTTTTCCTACGTAACAGTGTCTACAAAGGGTGGAGCCGCAGAGATAAATCAAACTCAAAAGGTAGCCACGAGCAAAAAAGGTTGAGAAACACTGATGTAGAGGATACTTGTAATATGGATAATTTTCTTGACCACGCATGTTAAAATACTAAGAATATTTTTGAAACATCAAATAAGTTATTTTTCACCACTGCAGACTCAAAACCTATAGAAACCAAACGTCTTTTACATACCAAAATTTGTTACTAGATCTGTTAAAAGTAGCATCAACTTCAGGGCAGTACATAAAACACCTGCTTATTCAGCTCTTTCAAAAATGAATTAAATCACCTTTATCTAACTTAAAAACAAAAGAATTATTCTCACCATATATATATATATATATATATATTAAAGCCCCCTCCCTACCAGAATGCAATAAAATACCCCTTACAATTTTGTCATTCTACCATCATCATAAGCTAATTCAAAACACATGATATTTAAAAGATTGACAAACAAAAAATGACAAACTTGAAACCATATAAAATTTACTAATCAATTGGAAGATGTCAAAAAAAAACTGTGTGTCTAGGAGTCACTACTACAAAGAAAAGAAACAATTTTCATATCATCCTTTTATTTCTTATGAAGGAAGGAGAAAAAACAATAAATTTTATTCTACTCTTTAAAGAATGAGAGAAACTTTTCTTAATTTTATTTATTTTAAAAAAAATTGAGATTTCTTTACTGTAAATATCTCTGCCCTTAAAAACTATGCTTATTAATTTGGAAGTTCTGTCTTTAGCAAGATGTTAGAATCTGTAGAGGATGAGAAAAGAATTTGAAAACTTCAACTTTTAATAAACAACAATACTCAGCATATTTTTCTTAGCTGGGTACTTAAATTAATGTTATACATCTTGAATTTTTAAAACATTTTCAAACAGAGTACTCTACACAAGCTTAATTTTTAAGTGAAATTCTTAAAGAACAGCTGCATAAATTAAAATAAATCTTAACATGAAAATCACCTTGTACCCAGAATCAGAGTATGAGACCTGACTCCATAAATTCACATACAAATCCTCAGTAAAAATAATTGAATATTGATTTTTCAAGTACAAAAGACTTGTAATGTTTACTCAACCCTTGTCAAATTTCATAAAGGTATACTTACTACATTAAAAATTATAGTCTGTATACTCTCATGGTTACCTATAAAAAAAACAACAACAAAGGGTTTGGAATTGTAAAGACCTAGAAAATCCATCTGCAAATGAACTGCTTGAAATAAACTTGCTCTTCAGAAAATGTTTTAGACTTGATTCAGTTTTTTTTTATTCTTTGTTTTGGTGTGTGAAAGATTGAATTTGATGGGTTAAGTAGCGTTCTTTCCTAATGCTCTTAATTTCTTTTATTAACTACAAATCAAAGAAAGATATTCAACAACCTTGGAACATACAGATACCTTGTGATGAGTAAATTGTAAACAAATATCAGTTGTACCTATGAAAATTCTAAGAACACAAAAATCTCATCAAACATGTGAAAGTGTGTCAAATGTGGCAGAACATGCTACCTACATAACTCATCAGGCAAAATGAAAACGCACATAACTGAAAGTGCCAGACTGGATAATCAAAAGAGTTAAAGAAGACTATCACAAACAAATTAACCAGCTAAAACTGAAAAGGGAATTGAATAAAGACAGTCATAAGCTCCAGAAGTTTTTGGTATCATAAACAACCTACATATAACATCATCCCAACTAAAGCTGAGTGAATTATTATCTACGAGCATCAATTACATCAATAAGTGTCACGCAAAATAACATATTAATCAAAATTACAATTAAATGATTAATGTCAGAATAATAATCAACTAATCAAAATTAATGTTTGTGATTACTTCAATCATCCAAGGAATTAAAATATCAACATTAAAATTTTTCATAAATTCAAGTTTGTTCAGTTTAATCGATTAATGTCACAACTGATAAAAATAATCAACTAATCAAAGTTATTGTTTAAAATTATTCCAACTATCCAAAATATCGCAATTATTATTTCTCATTATTATTCTAAATTAATTCAAGTTCATTCAGTTGAATCAATTAATATCACAACTGATGAAAATAATCAACTAATCAAAGTTAATTTCTCTGATCATTCCAACTATCCAAGCAATAAAAATATTACAACCTTGATGCCTGTTGTTCATGTTTACTTTGTTCGGATTAAATAATAGTGTAGCTTTAACTTAATATGTTGCTTACGTATTACAAACTGCACACATAACCAGTGTTATTTAGGGTAAGATTGCTTTAATACAAAAAATTATGATAAGATAATATTCAGTATTTTTTACTGGCACCAAAAAAAACTTTATTGCTGAATAACATATTTAACTGTTTTTGTCAAAAATTAATAGACATGGACTATTAACAGTCTAACAAGAAGTAACATCATTAAGTTGTTAACCCATTTTTATGAAGAAAACTCCTGTTTATCTATATCTAGATAAGAAGCACTTAAATAGGAAAATGTGCCATTTAAATACTACTTAGTATAATAAGCTTTACAGTTATTTGATTTATAAATTTCTCAGCATGCTTCTGTACAACTGATTATTGTCAAATAGTTACATTGATTCTTCAGTATCAACAACTCCTCAGTTAATAGCTGATGATTTTTTTATATTTTGAGAGTAATTACATCACCATTACTTCTTCCTTCAGATTTACTAAATTAATTATTTTTAAGTTTTTACACTGATCATGAAATTAGAAAAAAATTATGATAAATCTGTAATTAAATATTTTCTATATTACTGTAATTTTAATACTTTGATTTCCATCTTATGAATCATTTTAATCTCTGTAAAGTGGTCATCTATTAACACCACAAGTTTATTTTACCAAATAATTAACATTGTACTTAGTTTTTTCTATGATTAGAGTAAATTTGTTTTCAATGAGTTATGTATTATCTATCACGCAGTGACAAGAATCTTTATTTGTTTCATACAGGTAAACATTTTTAATTAAGAACTAGTTCTAGTAGTGTTGGCTTGCAAAAATGTATAGGAAAAAAAAAAAACATGGTATGGTAGTAATTGTAACTTCAGCTAATTACAGGTTTGTACCACAATGCACAAATTATACATTTTCATGTACAACAGTTTAGCATACTATAACCCCTTCCAAACCTGTAATCATCCTGGTAGCTCATCTCTGAAATCTCTCCAATAATTATTAGAAGAAATATACAACTAACCAATCATAAGATGTTTTGTAATAAAACTGAAATTAACTGAAAAACCCTTAACATTTTAAAAACAGTTTGGTAATTTTGTTAATTATGAACAAAAAAAACTTCTAAGGAGCATATATTGGTCTATTTTTAACAGGACTTATGACAAGACAAGAACTGGTCAAAAATTAAGCTTACTTGAAGCTAATTAGTTATACTAATGTAATATTTCAAAACTTAAACCTCTAAACTTATAGCCTAATAGTAACATTACGAAGCCTTAATGTATAGATTTGTATATTATAAATTAAAACTTAAGAACTTCCTTGAAATTTACCTCTCAACAATTTTATTGCCTGTAATTGTAAACAAAATTATTGGCAAGCTCTGTCATTGAACTTTCAGAGTATGGGCATAATAATAATAATGTTTTTATTAATTATGTGAATAATTTAATAATTTGAAATGGTATGCTGCAATTTCTTGTAATCAGTAAATTATTAAGTGTTCCTGATCATAATTTAAGTAAACTTTGAATTCCAATTTGTTAATGCTAGACCATAACAGCATAAGTTACAGGTGTGTATCCACATGCTATTTCAAAACTCACTAAATATGTCATCACTGTTTTAGCAGTTCAGACACTTCATTACTTGAATTCAAAAACTTCAAAACATTATCTAGACAGATTATTTTTATTGTAATAACTAAACCCGTGATTTGTCGCAAATTATGTTTACTTTTTAAAGCTACGTTATGTCGGCCAAACTCAGTTTTACTTTTAACTTTAAGCCTATCAGAAGTTTAGAAAGCTGAGAGATAATAGTCATCAAATCTACAATAATATATTATTTGTGATAATACTCTTGCTATTATTGATGTTATTAAGACAGATTAGTAATGCTATAACAGTACAAGTATAACTTGAGAGATTAAGTAGGTAAAACTAGTATTACAATACAAGTTAGGCCCCGACTAGTATTAATAGCGTAAGATAAGGTTATCTATTACTTTACTTCGATTGTTTCTCAGGAATTATTTGACTTGTTACAAAACTCACCTAGTAAAAGTAATTTAAGTTCCCTTCTAGCATCTCGTTTGTCTTTACGAAGTTGCCTCTCAATTTCTTGATTGATTCGCTTCTGTTCCTGCGCCTCCGGACTTAAACAACACGCCATGATGGTCGGCGAATAGCGCGAGTGTTACAATAATTTATCGAGGAAGTTTTTTATATTTTAATCATAAATTCAATGCAGAGAAATTATAACATGATACTATAGGTTACAACAGTGTATTAACTACTATCTCACGAGGAACGCATGAACAATATTCAAGTTTCTTCTCTCAAACAGTCTATAGGCTTAGAAACAAGCAAACATCAGTTCACTAGCCAACTGCTGTTTTAGCCTCATACTCTGGGTGTGGTGAACGGGGAGTAGTGACAATTCGTTGTAAAGCAATTTTAGCCAAGCATTCATTTGCCAAGACATAGGCAAAGCTAATCCTATTACCTCAGTAGGATGGATTCGACAGCCGCCCTTACTTCTTGTTAAATCATGCAAAGAATAAACATGTTCTTTCCACCCTAATTCAATTACGACGAACCAAATTTTATATAAACGGGAGGTACATTAAAAAACGTAACAGCAATCTTCCTTCTGTCATGCTATTATGGGATTGTCGAGAAAAGTAGTGGTGATACTGCGATAACTTAAGAGCAAAACGTTTTATCAGTTATAACTAAGAAATCACGAAAACATACTACCTCACATTTGTTCTTAAAGTTTACATGAAAATTAAATATTTTTAAGAAACTAGAAAACACATTTATTGTTTTGCAATCTAACTTTGAAAAAAATGGAGGTGCGGTTAAAATAACACATTTTCGTAGTATTATTTACATCGCCTTTCTGAAGGAAAAGTGATGTTTATATGAAAAATAGTGATTAAACATCATGGAAGAACCAAAAATATATTTCAGAAAAAAAAAATGTATAAATCTGGTTCCGTAGACAATATACATAGATACTGTGTTATATTAATCTTTACCCTAAAGTTTACGGTTATAGTGATTACTTAATTCACGCCACACTTATTATCAATACTGCTTATTTTAAGCATATAGTTAACGAAGGGGGTTCTTGAACACAAATCAGACCTCTTTTATTAATACGTCTTTAAACTATTTATGTGCGAAATGACTTGTGGTTCCTTAACTTGGTTGATTACAGAATCCTTTGTAAAATGTGAGTCACGAGAAAGCTATCATAAATAATTACATTAATTCATTGGTAATGTTTCCTACGTATTTTACATGGAAAATAAGTGAATCCGCCCATTTTTGTAGTCAACTTTTTACTCTAAGTGTTGTAATAGGCAAAAACATAAAGTTACTCAATATGTGAACACCAGCGATAAATGAACGTATATAAACTTGTCACTAACTTGCGAATACATTTCGCTGGCAACTTGGTTTAAAATTCTGTAAAAACAAATAAATAATTACTAATTACAATATTTGATAGTTATTAAAAAAGGTTGAACTTTCTGTTTTGAAACTAATTTTCCGCTCACCGTAATTTTTGTAGATATTTATATGTTTACTCATGTCTTACTATTTTTCCAAGCGTTGTCTTAGTTAATATCGTTGCGTCAGCGAGTCACATGACTACAGTGACGCAACGTTTCTAGAACTATCATGTACTTTGGCGAATGCTCTAGTATTTACTAGATAGGGTAGGCGGGTATATATAAGAGGGGACAACGTGACGCGAAAGGAAGGTAATGTAATGTGTGTGTAGATAGTGAGTAATTGAACTGCAGTCAGAAGTATTGTTGACGTTCGTTGATTAGCGTTTGTTTTAGCGCGATTGTTGAAGTTAAGTGTATCGGTAAAGTTATATTCGGAAAGAATAAACCAGTTTTATTAAGAAAGGACTTGTGTCGCTTAAGTTTCGTCGTCGGAACGAAGTTACTGAAAATCAATTAACAAACGGAGACGTAACAATATTATTCTAACAGTAAATTTGTCAAACATACCAGACAACCAGAAACGAGCACGAAACACTTTTTAACCACTCCACCACCAACTAGGCCGTCGTGGGCTCGAATCCACCGAACATGCTCGCCCTTTCAGTCGTGTGGGTGTCATAACGTGACGGTCAATCCCACTATTCGTTGGTAAAAGAATAGCCCAAAAGTTGACAGTGGGTGGTGTTGGCTAGCTGCTTTCCCTCTAGTCTATTACTTCAAAATTAAGCAGGCTAGTGAAGATAGCCCTCAAATAGCTTTTCGCGAAATTAAACAAACAAAAACTCCAACTAGGCCAATTGTTTTATGACAAACATAATTAATTACAGCCAGGCTACTGTTCGATAATGACTTTAAAAATAGTGTTTCGTTCTATCTGTTTGTTTACTTTAGATAATGGGATGAAATATGTAAGGCTATGAAGGAGAATATATATATATTGTATTTTAATAAAGGATTGTTTTAGAGCAAAGCCACATCGTGCTATTTGCTGTTTCCAACAAGAGGAATTGAACCCCGAATTTTATCATCACAAGTTCATAAAGTTAATGCCGTCCCAATAGGGGAATTTTAAAAAGGAACTATAACAATACAATCCTTTATGAAAGATCGTATAGTGACGAGTGACATTTCTCTCATTGCTTAGTCAGAAGTTAATATTAATTACGATAACACATCAATAGGAAAACTTTCAAACTTATGATTATATTTCACTCACATTTGTTCTTAATTTTTGCAAATTAATTACTTTTATTTTAACAAGTTTCTCAAAAGTAATTTTACGTACATTTTCAAACTGGACCGTATCTGAGACTATAGATGGCTTAAGCGTTTTTCTAGATCTAATGTAATAAGCATGAGTTTTCTTTTTGGTGCTTTGTTCCGTGTGAGGACAATTATGACTCAACCTATATCTTAATTTGTTTTTCTATGACCAGATTTGCAATATTGTGTTCTTTTGTTTTCAAGAGTAGTATCTGCATTTTTCTCTATATATAACTTGCGCAATATAATACATTTGAGCTTCTCACTCCTTTTCGTTTCTTTGGATTGCTGCTAACAATTTTATTCACATTAATTACTTTTCCTTACTTGATTATTATTTCGTTGTGTCAATAAAATACTTTTTAGTTGAAATATATAGTAATGTAAGTTAAAAATAGGTGTGTTGGGCTAAGGATTCTTCTACAGTAGGTGTCTGTGACTTGTTGGCGATAAATTCGATAATAAACGAACAGCATGCACTCCACGTGCTTTTAAAATAATATATATATATTTGTAGCTTTGTCCCCCAGTGGCACAGCAGAGTGTCTGCGGATTCATAACGCTAGAATCCGGGTTTCGATACCCGTGGTGAGCAGAGCACAGATAGCCCATTGTGTAGCTTTGTGCTTAATTACAAACAAACAAAATACTTTACGCTATGGAGATCATAGTTGTATCTTAAACACTGTACAGTTT